GAACCCGGCCCTTGTTGCTGCCAACTAGATGGGCAGAAGGGTTACATAGACAAGGCCCAACCGTCAGAGGAGCGAAATTCTGGAGCAGCCTCCCAAGGGAGCTGTCACGGAGTCCCCGGGTGATGCTCTGGAACTGCTCCCCACAAAGCCAGTCAGGACTTTGGGGAGCCTCCTCTCCCTTGGAGCAGACCGTCTTCAGGGCAAGAAGCTCACACAGCTTCACCTCCTGGGTTTCTCCTTGGACCATTCAGCATATGCCCCTCCATGCGCTTCCCACAGCGAGTCCGCCCAGGTGGGGTCCTGGGGAAGCCAGAGGTCCTGCACGCATCCCCACTTCGCAGTCAGACGTGACTCTTAGCCAGCCAGTAAAACAGAGGTTTATTAGATGACAGGAACATGGTCTAAAACAGAGCTTGTAGGTACAAAGAACGGGATCTCTCAGCCGGGTCCATTCTGGGGCCCAGCAAGCCAGACAACCACATCTGCCCTCTCTTCCAGTCCCCAGCTAGCTCCAAACTGAAACCCCCTCCAGCCCCTCCTTTCTGGCCTTTGTCTCTTTCCCGGGCCAGGAAGTCACCTGATCTCTTTGTTCACCTTTAGCTATTCCCTTGCAGGGGGGAAGGGCCCCAGCCATTTGTTGCCAGGATACAAAGTGTCGGCCATTTATGCACACTGGAGACTTAAGAAATGCATAGGGGAAACTGAGGCACCCACACAGTATTCAGAGGAAACATTAAGAACAGTCCCACTTTGTCACAGGACCTAACTGGCTTCAAGAATGAGCATGAGAAGTTTCTGGAGGGGATGGGATGAGCAGACATCCCACAACGGCATGGAGCCGATCCGCGATTGCTAGCACCAAATATCCCCAATGGCCGGAGATGGGACACTTGCTGGGAAGGGCTCTGAGTTACTACAGAGAATCCGTCCCCAGGTGTCTGGCTGGTGGGTTTTGCCCACATGCTCAGGGTCTAACTGATCGCTGTATCTGGTGCCAGGAAGAAATTTCCCCCCGGTCAGATTGGCAGAGACCCTGGTGGGGGGGGGGGGGGGTTCGCCTTCGTCTGCAGCCTGAGGTGTGGGGCACGGGCAGGTTTAAACTAGTGTCAATGGAGGATTCTCTGTAACTTGAAGTCTTTAACCCATGATTGAGGCTGTCAGTGACTCAGCCGGAGGCTGGGGTCTGCTACAGAGTGGGTGGGTGAAGCTCTGTGACCTGCGAAGTGCAGCAGCTCACACCAGAGACCACGTCCCCAGGTCCCTAGGCATAGGTGAGTCCGTCGGTGCCAGGGTTGGGCTCCTGGGAAGAGGAGGGGACAGAGTCACTGGGGTGTGTGTGTATGTGTGTGCACCAACTGCCCACACACACATTCACACAGAGCAGGGCTTGTCCCCTCCAGCAGGCGGTGACAGGGACACACACACACATACACACCCCTGCAATCCCAGCTGTGATCCCATGAGCCCCTCCCAGCAACCCCACCCCCACCCCAAAATACTGAGTGGGCCAGATAAGGTGAGTGGGGCCCATGTGGGTCAGGGTTGGGGGTCAGGGCCCGCGGGCAGACAGGGACACTTACGAGGGTCTGTGTCTCTTTCACTTCGTCAATGGAAGCGTCTGCAGAACAGAGACACCCGCTGAGCTGCACCCCCGGCCGGCCCAGAGCAGAACCCCACACCCAGCTCTGACCCCTCCGTCCAGCCAGGGGGGGTCAGAGCCCGGCACAGCCACCCCTCGCCCGCCCCACAGCATGGACCAGGGTCATTAGCCCCATGTTACAGAGAGGAAAACTGAGGCACAGAGATGGCAGCAGAGTCTAGGGGGTTATGGCGGGGCAGGGGGGCTGGGAGTCAGGATCCCTGGGTTTTCACCCTGGCTCTGGGAGGGGAGGAGGGTCTAGTGGTTAGAGCAGGGGGCTGGGGGCCAGGAGTGGATGGGGATTCCCCACAGGTCACTGGCTGGGAAGGTCTGATGGAGAAATGAAGGGGGGACACACAAAGCCCGAGGCCTGGGGGGGGAGAATGGGCGGCCCCATAGAGGGAGACTATGAACTAGAGGGGGAGGGGAGGGTGGCCCCCAGGGAGCTGGTGCGGAGGGAGGCAAGAAGCTCAGCTGACACCAGCTACCTCTGGGGCCTTCTCCTTAGTCCCGCCCAGCAGCAGCTGTAAATCAGACCCTGCCCCGTATGGGTGGAGCTCCCACAAGTCCCGTCCCTCACCAGGTGTCCTGCCCCCCCCATGGTACCCCCTTGGGTGCATTACTTACAGATAGGGTCTTGCTGAGCCGGGGCCTCCAACACCCCCAAGGGGCTGGTGCTAAAAGAGAAAAAAATCCACTTGTAAATGTCATATCCCCCAAACCGCCAGGAAATTTCCCAACACACCCAGAGAGCCCCCAATCCTGCCTCACACTGAACCCTGTTCCCTAACCCCCCTGCTACAACCACTAGACCCCACCCCCCTGCCAGAGCTGGGGACAGAACCCAGGCAGAGGTGACACATGTGTGGGGGGAAAGCAGGGTCACATGACCCCCCCCCGGACAGCTCAGTCACATGGTGCAGCCGGGCCCCCTTCCTGCGGAGCAGCTGAGCTGGGGAGCTGAGCTGGACAGGGAGAGGCAGAGGCAGGAGCGGAGGAACAGCTGGGAGCTGCGGGTGGGGGGGGTCACGGCTTTCCGGGCAGGGGGGGGCGTGATGTGACTCCAGCTGTTCTGGGGTTGTGCCCCTCCACTGTCAGCAGGCCCAGGTCATTTCTGAGGAGTCCTGGCCCCCAACCCCACTTCCACCTCAGAGCCGGGGACAGAACCCAGGAGCCCTGTGACCCCGTCAGGTCGATCGGGAGGGTGGAGGAGCCGGGTTCCTACCTGCTCGGTCTCAGTGCGCCTCCTTTTCCTGCAGAGGGACACAAACCAGAATCCCCCATGAGTCGATCGGGATCCCCCGGTCCCAGCGCCCGGCCACTCACCCCCACAGGGCAGCAGGAATGGGAGGGCCTGGGGGGTCCCCTCTGCTGCTGGTGCTGAGCCTGGATCCCTGCTGGGGTGGGCCAGACCGGCAGGGGGCAGCACAACACCAAGCATGCGCTGTGGGGAGGGGCAGATTAACTCGGGGGCTTTTCCTGTCCCCAATCCTCCCTCGTTAGTGACTCATTATAATGAACCTGATCCATAGGTCGGCTCCGCTGGCACCACAGGTACCTGAGAGGCAGAGTGCCCACAGCGCATTATACAGGGACCCCTTGCTCAGTGCTGAGATGCGGCCACAGATGGTGCAGGTGGGGCAAGGGAACTGGTTATATGGGGACCCCTCATCTGGCCCTGAGATGTGGCCCCCCTGGGGTGGGACAGGTGCGTGTGTCCAGGGATTACACATGCCACAGCGCCCTCTGCTGTGCCCCCACCCCACTCCTTGGCTTCCCCATCCCAGCCGTGACCCCAGCCCGCCCTTCTTAGCGGCAGGATTAACCCTTCCCTCGCTGGGCGGGGCACTCACTGGCTCGGGTTTTTCTGAAGCAGACGAAGGCCACGAGGAGGAGGAGGAGGGCAGCGGCTGCCGCACTTCCTCCAGCGATGATGGGACTGGTCAGACCCGGAGGTGCCGGCGATTCCGATCCACCTGGAAAACAGCAGCAGCCGTGAGTGCCGGGGGCGTCTGATCTGTTCCCCTCCCCCAGCCCCTCCCACCCCAGGCGGCGCCCAAGGGGCTGGGGCACCTCAGGGTGCAGGGAGCAGAAAATTCTATGGGGAGGATGTCGGGGGCCCCAGGGCATCAAGTGGGGTCAGAGCCAGTAACATTTGGGGAATTTATAGCACGAGGGGACGCTGGGCTGCAGGGCAGGGAGCTCAGTAGGGGGCGCTCTCCCCATCAATCAGGGCTGGCCTCATTGCCCCAGCATGGCGCTAGGGGGCGCTGTCTGATCCAGCCTGGACGTTATTTCACCCCCTTCCTCGTGGCCACACCGGCTCAGGCCAACGGGCCCATCTAGCCTGGTATCCCGCCTCCCATGCTGGCTGCTCCTGGCTACTTCGCAGGGAGCTCTGGCGGGTTCATGTCAGAGCAGGAGGCTTCTGTCTCCTCTCAAATCCTTTGGTGCGGGGGAGTCACTTCCCCTGAGAACAGCCTCCATCCCTCCCCCTGGCCAACCACTGGAGAGAAGCTACCACATAATGTGTGACTCAATAGATTCCCCCCGGTACCTGGTCCCGTGCTACCCGGGAGGGTGGGAGCCGGCGCCACTCCAGGCTGGGTCAGGTCGGTTCCCATTGCGGGAATAGAACCAGCATCTGTTGGGGCAGGGGGAGGGGTTGAAACACTGACTCAGAGATCACCCCACCCTCCGTGACCACTGGTGGAATAGCCTCTGGGCTCAGGGACCTGGCCCAGCGGGGGCCCCGGAGAACACCCAGCACCCAGACCCTGGTTCCCACAGAAGCAGTGGGGGGAGTGGGGGAGGCAGGGGAAGCCTTAGCACTGGGACCTCCGCTGCGGCCCCAGGACGGGAGGAGCTCTCGCTACGTGCTGTGGCCTCAGGGCCGGGGGAGCTCTCGCTCCCCGCTGCGCCCTGGGGCCGAAGCAAGGGGACAGAGCTTCTCCGGTCTGGGGCTCACAATGCGGGGAAGCAGAAAGTAGAAAATGGGTTGTGGAGCTCCAGTGGGGGGACGGAATGGGGCGGGGCCATTGGTGGAATAGGGGCGGGGCCCCAGGGAAGGGGCAGAAAGGCGGGGGGCCATGTGCGGGGCCGCAGGCGGAGGAGGCGGAACAGGAGAGGGACGCAGGTGGAAGGGGGGAGGGATCCCCCTTGCTCTGGCCCAGGGGCCCAGGAAACCTTAATCCACCTCAGCCCGTGACTCAGCATCAATCGTTACTGTCAGACCTGGGGAGGGGGCTTTGTGGCTGGGGACGGTGCCGGCTGGGCAGCCCCTGAGCCCTGACTCCTCTGTGAGCCCCCAGAGCAGGGGCAGCCGGGGGAGCATCGCCTCGGAAAGGCCACTGCTCTGCAGCGCCCTCTGGTGGAAGGGATCCCCCCTCCCTCGGCCCTGAACCTCCAGGAGCTGCTGCTCCCCCTGGCTCGGGAACCCCCCAGTGACACTGTCCCGGCTTCCTGTCCAGACCAGTCCTAGGGCTCTGGGCATCCCGTCAGGTGCCGACCTTCTGAGGGTCCAGGTGAGTCCCCGGTGATGATGGGGCTGGCCAGACCCGGAAGTGCCGGCGATTCCGATCCACCTGGGAAACAGCAGCAGCCGTGAGTGTCGGGAGCGACTGGTCTGTTCCCCCCCAGCCCCTCCCACCCCAGGCGGCACCCAAGGGGCTGGGACACCGCAGAGCACAGGCATCAGAAAATTCTATGGGGAGGATGTTGGGGGGCCCCAGGGCATCAAGTGGGGTCAGAGCCAGCAAGATTTGGGGGATTTGTAGCACGAGGGCGCGCTAGGCTGCAGGGCAGGGAGCTCAGTAGGGGGCGCTCTCCCTATCAGTGTGGCCTGGCCTTATTGCCCCAGCACGGCACTAGGGGGCGCTGCCTGATCCAGCCTGGCCATCATTTCTAAAGCATTTCACCCCCTTCCTCATGGCCACACTGGCTGAGGCCAATGGGCCCATCTAGCTCGGTATCCCGCCTCCCATGCTGGCTGCTCCTGGCTGCTTCGCAGGGAGCTCCAGCCCCGCCCCCCCTGCCCCCACTCCCCCCGCGCGGGCCCCCCCCCCCCCCCCCCCCCCCCCCCACCCATGGCCACTGATGGGCCCAGCTGCCCCCAGAGGAAGCCTCCGGCTGCCCCATTAGCAGCGGGTTTGTGTCTGAGCAGGAGGCTTCGCTCCCCTCCCAAATCAGTCACTGCCCCTGAGAACATCTCCATCCCTCCCCCTGGGCAACCACAGGGGAAACTGCCCCATAATCTGTGACTTAATAGATTCCCCCCAGCCCCAGTACCTGGCCCCGCGCTGCCCGGGCGGGTGGGAGCCGGCGCCGCTCCAGGCTGGGTTGGGTCAGTTCCCTCTGCGGGAATAGAACCAGAGTCTGTCAGAGTGGGGGGAGGGGCTGAAACACCGACTCAGAGATCCCCCCGCTACCCCCCGTGACCAGTGGTGGATCAGCCATTCGGCCTATAGGGCCCGTGCCCAGGGACCCCAGCCAAGTGGGGGCCCCAGAGCTCTGGCCACCGGGTGAGCAGGATGGGAGAAGCCCCAGCACCCCGACCCTGGTCCGCAGAAGCACGGAGAGGGGCAGGGGAACCCTTAGCACTGGGACCTTTGCTCTGAGCATCCCATCAGGGTGCTGACCTTCTGAGGGTGGGGCTGGGAGCGGGGACACCGAGCTGGGCCCCTCACCTGCTACCACCAGCTCCACGGTGTCGCTGGGCTGCGAGGAGACGAAGGGCTCCGATCGGGGCCGGTAGCTGCAGCTGTAGCTCCCTCCATGCTGCCGGCTCACGCTGGGGATGCGGAACTCGGCCCTGGCCCCAGCAGGGTCCATGTGTCGCTGGGGGTTCAGGTCTCCAGTCTTGTGCAGGAAGAACCTCATGTCCCGGCGCTGCCCCTGACACCGGATGGTGACGTCTGCCCCTGGGGCGGTGACCCCAGTGGGGCTCAGAGAGATGGAGGGTCTGGGTAAGCTGGGATCTGCGCACAGGAGAGAGGATGTGGGAGCCAGACCAAGGCACCCGCCCAGCCCCGGCCTCCAGCTGCAGAAGAGAAGAGTGAGGGGGGATTTGATAGCAGCCTTCAACTACCTGAAGGAGGGCTCCAAAGAGGATGGAGCTCGGCTGTTCTCATGGGTGGCAGATGACAGAACAAGGAGCAATGGTTTCAAGTTGCAGTGGGGGAGGTTTAAGTTGGATATTATGGAAAACTATTTCACTAGGAGGGTGGTGAAGCAGTGGAATGGGCTCCCTAGGGAGGTGGTGGAATCTCCTTCCTCATCTTCTATGATTCCCCGGCCGTTCCCAGGCACGGGCAGATCCAGTGGCCCCCTGGCAGAGATTCTCTCCCAGATCCCAGAGTCCTGGCCCTGCGAGCTGGGCTTCCAGCCCCACAGACACGGGGCCACGGCTGCCTTGTTCTTGGGGTCCTCATATGCCATGTGTGGCCCCTGCCTCATTCACTGCGTCCGGGCCCCCCAGCACAGAGTGACTCACGGGCTGGTGTCTGGCACCTGGCATGGCAGGGTCTGAGCCCCACAGAGGAAAGAAGTCATCCCCCCGGGAGGCAGTGAGACAACTTTATCCCCATTCTACAGGGGGGGAAACTGAGGCACAGACAGATTCACTTTCCTTAGTGAGCTCCCAGGGGCAGGGACTGTCTCTTCACTCTGTGTTTATGCAGCGCTATTGAGGCCAGTTTTGGCAGAGGTCTCCAATATCTGTGGGCATCTTTGTTTGTGGGCTCTCGGCCTGAGATCCCCCAAGTTTGAGCCCTCCCCCCCCCGCAAGGGAGGACACTTTTGAAAACCGCGACGTGCTCCCATCACACAGAGTCTGTGGCTGCACCAGGAGCTGGGCCAGATCTCCGGGGTCCCAGCCCAGTGCAGTGTCCACTAAGCAACTGCTCCTCCTGCAGCCCCTCCCTCATTCAGCCCAGGCCAGGGCCCTGCCTGGGGCACGGCCTGGAGCACAGAGGGGATGGGATCACGGGATTAAATAGCGACTCATGGTTTCTACACACAAGGGGCAGCGTTAAAGTCACCTCCCTGCCCTGAGTGTCCAGGGACTGCTGCTCCCCTCTGGCTGGGGAACCCCCCAGTGACTCCGTCCCCACTCCCCGGTCGGGTGTCCCCTCTGCTGGGTCAGGGCTCAGGGCAGAGCCTGGCTCTGAGCGTCCCATTGTCTCCAAGCCCCGGTGAGGGTCTGGCTGGGGGGGGTGGGGCTGGGAACGGGGACGCCAAGGCGGGCCCCTCACCTCTCACCACCAGCTCCACGGGGTCGCTGGGGTACGACACGGCGAACGGCTCCGATTTGCTGTGATAGGAGCAGCTGTAGCTCCCGCCAAGATCCCGGTGAACGTTGCTGCTGGAGAACACAGCCTCAAACCCGTCCGAATCCACAGGTGGGAAATGGCGTCGCTCTTTATTCAGCACAAATCGCACGTCCTGGTGCTGCCCCCAACACCGGACGACCACAGTTCCCCCCAGGCTCACGGAGATGTTGGGTTTGGGGTAGCTGGGCTCTGCAGTGGGAAGCAGACAGACCGTGAGATGCAGGCCCCGTCAGTCAGTCCTGGGGCCCGTCCTCACTACGTGGCCTCAGTGGTCGGTCAGACCCGGCGGTCCTGGGGACGGGCTCCTGGATGCCTTTCCACAGGGTCCAGAGTTTCCTCTGAGCCCTGGGCTAGCAGCATGAGACACGGAGCAACCCCAGCCCCTGGGGGCCAGAGCTGTGCTCCCTAGCGGGTGACAGGACAGTCCAGTCTCCAGGGTCCATTCACTCCCTGGCTTCTCTGCTGCAAGGGCTGGGAGCCAAGACTCCTGGGTTCTGTCCCCGGCTCTGGGAGGGGAGTGGGGTCTAGTGGGTGAGAGCAGGGGGGATGGGGGCCAGGACTCCTGGGTTCTGTGCACAGCACCACCACTGACTTGTAAGGGACTGTGCAAGTCTCTACTATACACTGAGGTTTATAACCTTCAGCTCCACCCATCACCCCCTAACTGATGTGTTGTCTGGGAAAGCCTCCCCTGCTCTGCAGCTCCCTCTGGTGGCAGGGATTCCCCCTTCCTCTGCCCCAGATCTCCAGAGCGGGGACTCTGAGCTGGGTCCCTCCTTCACCTCCCACAATGATCTCGACGGGGTTGCTGTGATGTGATGAGTGACTCTGATCCACTATGGAGCGATAGTCGCAGGTGTAGCTCCCTCCATCTTCCTGGCCAACACTGGTGATGGGAAATTCAGCCACGGTCCCATTAGGCATCGTCCGCACCTGCTGGTTCGGGTGTCCAGCTTTACGCAGAAAGAACTCCATGGATCGTTGCCGACCCTCACAGCGGATGGTGACATTTCCCCCGAGGGCCACCACCCTGCTGGGGCTCACCCAGATGGTGGGTTTGAGAAATTCACTCCCTGCTTTCAACAAGACAGGAGTTAACCAGGGGAGATACACACACCCCTGCCTCCCTCCCCCCAGTTCAGTCCATCCGTCATTCGGCCTCTCTGGGAGTCTGTCCCCTACCAGGGTTGGCACTGCCTGCTCATGGGGCTCGGGGGCAGGGGGTTCACCCACATGTAGCTCAGGACCCAGCTGCATGTGAGATCACCTGCCGCCCCCCCCAGCCCCACCTGAGGCCAGCCAGGGAACCTGACCAGTGGGCCCCCTGCAGCCCTGCCCCCCCGAACCAGATTTGGGAATAGAGTCTGTGGCTGGCGGGAGTTGTGCAAGACCCAGCTTTCCCCAGGCCTTGGGAATGGGGGGCTGTGAGTGCAGGGGAGGGAGCTGTTGGGGGCGGATCTGGGGGGGTTCTCCTAGGGTTACCATATTTCCACAATCAAAAAAGAGGACACTGAGGGGGGAGGAGCCCCACTCTAGCCCCGCCCCTGCCCTGCCCCACCCCCATCCACTCCCTCCCCCTTCCCACCCCCTGACTGCCCCCCTCAGAACCCCCAAACCCCCCTACTCCTTGTCCCCTGACTGCCCCCTCCTGGGACCCCTGCCACTAACTGCCCCCTAGGACTCTACCCGTCCCCTGACTGCCCCGACCCTTATCCACACCCCAACCCCATATTCACACCCCCACCCCTAGACAGACCCCCGGGACTCCCATGCCCTATCCAACTGCTCCCCACCCTCTGACAGGATCACCAGAACTCTAGACCCATCCAACCCCCTCTGCTCCCTGCCTCTCTCGACCCCTTTCCACACCCCTGCCCCATATCCACACCCCCTCCCTCAAACAGACCCCCGGGACTCCCACACCCTATCCAACTGCTCCCCACCCCTTGACAGGACCTCCAGAACTCCCAACCCATCCAAACCCCTCTGCTCCCTGCCTGCCTTGACCCCTCTCCACACCCCTGCCCCCCTGACAGCCCCCCCGAACTCCCGACCCATCCAACCCCCCCTCCCTGTCCCCTGACCAGGGGCAGCTTTAGCAAGAGCCCAGGAATCGGGCTGCACTCCGGCCGGGGTCGCGGGTCTTGGGGGCCAGGCCGGAGGTGCTCGGCCGGAACCGGGGCCGCCGCCCTGGGGCCGGATCCGGGCCAGAGCCGCTGGGGCCGGGGCCACGGGTGCTCGGCCAGCGCCGCTCTGCCAGAACCAGGGCAGGTGCCCCGGGGCCCGGGCCAGGGGTGCTCGGCTGGCACCGCTCAGCCAGGGCCAGGCCAGTGCGCTCGGCCGGAACCAGGGCCCCGGGGCCCGAGCCGAGTCGGGCCGGAGCCACTGAGGCCAGGGCCGGAGCCGCTGGGGTCGGGGCCGGGGGTGCTCGGCTGGCGACGCTCGGCCGGAACCGGGGCCCCGGGGCCCGAGCCGAGCCGGGCCGGAGCCGCTGGGGCCAGGGCCGGAGCCTCTGGGGCCGGGGCCGAGGGTGTTCGGCTGGCGCCGCTCAGCCAGAACTGGGGCCGGTGCCCCAGGGCCAGAGCCGGAGCCGCTGGGGCCGACCGGGGCCGGAGCCGCTTGGCTGGGGCCAGAGGGAGTCTCTCGGCCAGGGCCGGACTGGGCCGCGCCGCCCCATGCCTCCCTGGAGCCCTCCTTCTCGCGTCCCCCCCCCAGCTTACCTGCTGCTGCCCACCTGCCCCTGCTTGTTTTCAGACTTCCCGCGAACATCTGATTTGTGGGGAGCAGGGGAGGGGGAGGAGCAGGGGGGCGGAGCGTTCAGGGGAGGGGGAGGAGCAGGGGGCGGAGCGTTCAGGGGAGGGGGAGGAGCAGGGGGGCGGAGTGTTCAGGGGAGGGGAGGACGGGGAAGACAGCTGCAGGGCCAGGGGCGTGCTAAGGCTGCAGGGGATGCGGGGAGCCAGGAAGGGGCTTTGGCTGCCCAGCGGCGCATGGCCGCCGCTTTTCAATCTATAAATAGCCGACCGGGGGGAAATCCCGGACATTTTTAGATTTTTAGAAATCCCCCCCGGACTGCTATTTATAGACCGAAAAGCCGGACATGTCCGGGGAAATCTGGACGTATGGTAGCCCTAGGTTCTCCCCACGGCTGCACTGACTGTGAACGTTTCAGTTCCCTGAGGGGATCCAGAGCCAACGGACGGCCCCTGTTAGCGTTTGTATGAGCCGAAATAAATCCACGTGCCGCCCCCACCCCCGATCCTCACAGCCTGTCGGGGGCAGGACTTTGAACCAGGGGACGGTTCCCATCTGCTTCCTCAGACCCCGGGAGCCAGATTCAGCTCCCAGTTACTCCGGGGAGGGGGGGTCACAGAAGAACGAGGCCGGGTCTGAACTCACAGGGGGAGTTTGGGTTGCGTTTTGGGGAAGGATCAGGGCTCGGTTCCTCTTTTCCCCACCCCATACATCCCCTCTCCTGTCCTTGATGTTACCGTCCCCCCCACAGACTAATACTCACCTCCCCACACCCCGCTGTGCCCGGCCAGCCAGCAGCCTGGAGAGGAGACGGCTTGTTAGTGACCAGATCCCAGAGAAACTGGATCCTACAACCTGGTCTCAGATCCCCCCACATGGGCACATGCCCTGTTCTCAGATCCCCCACCCACCCACCCCAGGCACACGTCCTGGTCTCAGCTCCTCTTCATGGGCACATGCCCTGGTCTCAAATCCCCGCCATTGGCACATGCCCTGGTCTCAGATCCCCCACCCTATGGGCACATGCCCTGGCTGTCTCCAATACTCACCGAGGAGGAGGACGGTGAGAGCAGATGCCATGACGGGGCAGTGGGGGCCCCTCAGCGCTGTCACCAATGCCCCGGCGTTGAGCTCCACTGAGTCTGAGGCCCGAGTGCGAACGGAATGAGGAACTGCGCCGGGGGCTGCAGCCCCAGGAAGCCCGTGATGAGCTCGGCCCCTTTCTTCCCATCAGATGATTTCTCAGCACTCTCCGGGGCAAATCTGCCATGCTCAGAGAAAAGCCAGCTCCCTGCAACACCCAGCAAACCACATCCCCTCCTGCAGCTGCCTGGTCACCCCCACCCCCACCCATCACCTCCCAGCCCCACATGGGAGCTGCCCAGTCCAGGGATCAGCTGGGAAATGGGGAATCTCAGATGTCAAGAGATGCCCAGGCTGCCCCCACCTTTTCCAACAGACCCGTCCAACCTCCCTGGAGCAGCAGGTCAGAGCAGAGTAGGGATCTCCACCCCCCATGGTGCCCTTCACGGAGTGACCCTCTCCCATGGAGCGGGGCAGAGATTCCTTCCTGACCCGGCTGGGCCCAGCGCCTGCCCTGGAGCATGAGGGTGGAGGAGTCTGGCCAACCTCCTTCCCAGGTAGTGTGACTGCATCACCATTCTTAGCTCAATGATGTGGCACAGAGGCAAGACAGAGGGGTGGGGGTTGTGGTTTCTGGCCCCCGTGAGCAGGGGAGGGAGGCATAAATGAAGATCCTGAGTTGTTAAAGAAACAGCCAATAAAACCGGCGGGTGGGATCTACTGCACCCCATGGACGGCGCTTCCTGCAGTAAGTGACTGGGGAGCAGTAAAACCAAGGGGGATTGACGGGGACCAGGCATGCTGAAGAGTCGGAGAGAGACGGTTTCAGGGGGCGATTAACCCCTGGGAGTGTGTGACCAGAGAGAAGGACTTTTGCAGTAACAGGGTCCCCCGGGGGATCGCAGCGAGCGGTCCCGGGGCGGAGGAGTCTGCAGCTCGACCCTGGCAGAGAGATGGTGACCTGAAGAAGGGCTGGCACACTAGGGGTCTCCCTGGAACGGTGGAAAGCAGAGAGCACAGGCCGGCGAGTGGCCAGCAGGAGGATGTATGCTAAACGCCTTAAGAGCGACCTGGTGGAGCTGTGCAGGCAGAGGGGGCTGCGCGCTGGGAGGTCCACCAAAGAACAGCTAATTGCCCAGCTGGAGGAGAAGGATCGCTTGGATGAACCGAGCCCTGTCCCTTAGGGAAGCCGCCCGACGGATGCAACGTGGGCCCCGGGGCCTGACATGGCTGGGAGGGGTCAGACTGCTGCCGAGGACATCCCGAGACCCTGCCTACCTATGCCTCGGGGAGGGATTGGGGGAAGCCCAGCAAATACCAAGGGCACCCCGAACCCGGCAGCCAGCAGGGGATCGTCGCAGCGGAGCTCCCCGTCCCTGGAACGGAGGCGGCTGGAATATGACAGGGAGCTGAGACTGAAAGAGCTCGAGTTAAGGGAGCAAGAACTGAAGCAGGAGCGGGAAGAGAAGGAGAAACAACGTCAGCATGAGCGGGACCAACGTCAGCATGAGCTGGAACTGGCCAGGCTGAGGACCAGCGAGCCCCCGGCTGCGGTGAGTGAGGGGGGACCCAAGACTGCCAAGAGCTTTGATAAGTGCTTTCTGGCCCAGCGTAAGGAGGGGGAGGACATGGATACCTTCCTGACGGCCTTTGAGAATACCTGCGAGCTGCTCCAGGTTGACCCTGCAGACAGGCTCCAGTTTCTCATCCCCTCACTGGACTCCACAGCCAGGGAGGTGTACAGCCGACTGAAAGGGGCAGAGACAGGGGACTACGAACTGTTCAAAAAGGCCCTGCTCCGCGAGTTTGGGCTGACCCCTGAGATGTAGCGGAAAAGGTTCCGAAGTCAGCGTAAAACCCATGAGGTCACATACCAACAACTAGCCAACCGGGCGCAGGGGTATGCCGCAAGTGGACAGCTGGGGCCCAAACTATAGAGGACCTGCTTGACCTATTTGTACTGGAGCACGTGTATGAGCAGTGCCCATCAGACCTGAGGCGATGGTTTATGGACCAAAAGCCAGAGAACCCGCAGCACGCAGGCCAGCTGGCCGACGAGTTTGTGAACAGTCGGGCAGGGGATAACAGGGAGGAGTCCCAAAAGAACAGTCCCACCACAACGCAGAGAGAGGGTCACCATGGGACCTCCCAGCGGGGAAATATGGAGAACCCCCACCAAAGGGAAACATCCAACGTCAGGTCCATCCGACCCACTTGAGGGGACCCATGGGACATGGGCTGCTATCACTGTGGCCAGAGAGGCCACCTATGGGCCCAGTGCCTCAGGCTCAGGGACAGACTGAGCAGATCCAACCCACAGAGGGTTGACTGGGTAGAGACCCAGCCGGGCGAGAGGCAGCGTTCCCAGGAAAGGGGGGCTGGCAGCATACCACCTGCTAAGGAGGGAGGAGAGCTCCAGGCCGGCTCCTCTGGGGGCTGGATGCTCCAGACTCAGGGTTTTTGGATTACAGGGTAGGCGCGGGGTGGTCCCTGTGGAGCAAGTACCTTGTTCCCCTGGAGGTAGATGGAAGGAAGGTCAATGGATACTGGGATACGGGCGCAGAGGTCACGCTGGCCCGGCCCGAGGTGGCGGCCCCAGATCGGGTGGTGCCCGACACCTACCTGACCCTGACAGGGGTGGCTGGGACCCCAGTCAAAGTGCCCATGGCGAGGGTACACCTGAAGTGGGGGGCCAAGGAGGGCCCCAAGGACGTGGGGGTACACCCGTATTTGCCCACTGAGGTGTTGATGGAGGGGACCTGGAGGACTGGCCAAGCAACCCCCAGGGTGCCCTGGTTGTGACCCGCAGTCAGAGCCGGCGAGGGGCACTGCGCCCTGGCCTTGGGGAGGGTGCCTTGCCCGAGGCGCAGGACCCTAACCTGGTGGGGAGGGAACGCCCAGGGACACGGCTCAGGGAGGCTGTGGCTTCAGACCCAGCCGGCGAGAGAAAGCAGGTGGCCATCCCTGTCCCAGCTGCTGAGTTCCAGGCCGAGTTGCAGAAAGATCCCTCCTTGCGGAAGATAAGGGACCTGGCCGACCTCAGTGCGGTACAGACCATGGGGAGAGGTGGCCGGAAAAGGTTCCTGTGGGAGAAAGGGTTCCTGTACCGAGAATGGGCTCCCCCAGGGAAAATGGAGTCAGGGGGGATCAGGAGGCAGCTGGTGGTACCCCAGAAGTATCGCCGCCAGCTGCTGTACCGGGCCCATGACATTCCCCTCTCAGGGCACCAGGGAACCTGGCATACCCAGCAGAGGCTGCTACGAAACTTTTACTGACCTGGGGTCTTTGTTACTGTCCAACAGTACTGCCGATCCTGTGACCCCTGTCAGAGGGGGAGGAAGGCCCAGGACAAGGGGAAAATGGCCTTAGGACCCTTGCCCAGCATACGGGAGCCTTTCCAGAGGGTGGTCAAGGTAAAAAGGGGGGCTCTGAACCAAGAGAGCCCGAATTACAGCCCTCCAGACTGGAATGCTGGGAGAGGACCCCAGCCCAGTTGGAACCGCAGGGGTATTGGGATGGGAAAAGGGCACAGGCCGCATAAGGCTTCCCACATGAGAACTACGAGTGCCATCGAGCACACCCGACCTAAGGGGGGCCGTGAAACTGGAAGGACCTGGTGTAATTCTCACCAAGGAAGGGAGGGATGCTGGGGCATCCATGGGAACGGGGGTAGGTTCGAACTTCCCCAGGTCACTGGCTGAAGTGACCCCGCTCAGTTCGGTATCGAAGTGGGGAGAGATGTGACGAACTGGGACTGTTCTTAATGTGGTCTTTGAATGCTGAGTGGGGAGTGTTGGCCTGGGAAGGTTGCAGGGGAGTGTGGCTAGGATGGTCTGCATTGGGGGATGGGAGATTGGTCGTGAGGGAGAATACCTGAGCATGTAACATGAGAACCCAGGAAGGGGTTAGAGGTCAGGAAACGGAACAAAGGCTGTGGGAGGGAAGGCTGGAGAGGAGTTTGAGAGCTGGCTGGTGGAATGGCTGGGAGGCAGACGGGGTCTGACCTCCCAAGGGGGCTGTGGTGCCCTGGGACCCCAAGATGCACCTAATTGGGGGGGATCCTGTTGTCTGTGCCTGCAAGACCTGTCTTGTACTGTGTTCCTGTCATCTAAATAAACCTTCTGCTTTACTGGCTGGCTGAGAGTCATGGTGAATCGCAGGAAGCCAGGGGTGCAGGGCCCTGTGTCCCCCCACACTCCGTGACATGGGGTAGCTGGGCTCTGCAGGCAGGAGGAGACAGGCGATGAGACCCAGACATGGTCACTGCACCCCGTCCCCACAGCCCGGCCCCGGTGACGAAGCCGATACAGGAGAGAGTCTCCTGGATGCTTTTCCCCTGAATCCAAGACAGAGAGAGCTGGGCTAGCGACACAAGAGACACGGGCCACGGTGTGGATCCATCTGAAGGAGCCCATGGAGGGGTGGCTGGGGCAGGGGAAGGAGAGGCCAAGGCTACCTAGAGGCCAATTGCATTTTATCTCAGTCAGACGGGGAAGGAGAAATCAGTTCAGTGGGGAATGATCACAAGTGAATCAGAGTTCGCTGGTTTAGGAGGAAATGCTGCATTAGGTCACACTGGGAACTCTTGCTGACCTTGACCGAACAGTAACTACCATTGCCTGAATTAAACCAACTTTATGGGCAAAAATTTACATTCATGGAGCACCAGGATCTGGAGTTAGAACGTTCAAGGCACTACGGCAGAACTCCACCGCTCTACGGTCCCTTCGCAGCTTCTCTGTTTTCAGCCTCGGCACGCCCCGAGTTCGGAGGACAATGTTTTAGGAGGCTTCATTATATCTTGATTGAACCATCTTCTTGTGATGTCATTGTTTGCTGTTCTGAGTTCCAGCTCAATTAACTACAGCTATTCCTCCATGCCACAGGTCAGCTTCTTAACTGAACAACCATCGTTCCGCTGCTTTCTGCCGTACGCGCAGTCCCTTCCCTCTCTGGCAATTTCTCTCTTCCTGTCACTGCACCTGAAGGTGCTGGTGTTTTACTTTCGCTACAGCCACTTCCTCTTTATTTCTTCAGCCCCTTTCTCT